TCCTCCTGACACCCTGATTTTTAGTTTACTCCAGAACCGGAAGAGCATAAATTTGTGTTGTCTTAAATCTATCCAACGACATCTTCTGCAGCAGCATTAAGGAATGAATGGACGGTGTCAAAGAGAGAGAGATATCAAAAAAGAGAAAAGTTTCCTTAGGAGGAATCAGAAACTGTAATTGAAACTGATACATTTGAGCTAATGACTTCATAGACAGAAGCCGTCTTAGGAGAAGAGGACCAAGGTCTTCACCTGTAAGTATGATTTACAAAGGCAGAAGATGGGTGGGGCTATTATAACTGAGTAAAAGAAAACAGAGTTTGTTGATAAGGCTACTTAAATAGACGAATGACTGGACCACAGGTAAATGAAGCTGGCCAAGGAGGAGTACTGTCAATTGTTAAGGAATATCATTGTAAATGGATAGAAGAGGAAGAAATGAGAAAGAACATTTTGCATGAAGATCAAACACACTTTGAACATATCTATATAGAAGCAGATGAATGACAACATCATCAATGACTCAGGGAATAAAGGATTGAGAAACTCCTAAAAGGAAAAGGTAACACAAGAAGCCAATGAGTTGGGAGAAAACCACACTGTATCATCACAGAAAAAAATTGGTGGCTAGTGACAAGGGCAGCTTCAAGGTCAGACAGAGTTTTCAAATGCCCACTAAACTGAGTAAGTAGCATGTATTGAAAAAAAATTCCAAAACATTCAAGCTAATTGGCAACAAAGATTGAAGAGACTTTCCAATGGAGCAAAATTCCATTCACAGTGACTGGGGATATGAAGAAAAAGAATGATAATAGCTATGCAGGGACGGAGAAGGCACAAAAAGTGGGAACCAAAGTTCAAATAAGTGATGTGTTGTAAGAACTGGGCCGGGTGTGGTGGCTCACACCTATAATCACATCTACTAAGGTAGAAGGAATTGAATAGTTTCAAGGCAGCATAGCCTAACAGCAAGACTGTGTCTAAAGAAACAAACACCTCATCAGAATTGAGTATCTCTAACATGAAAAACAGGAGGGAACAGATCCAAGTTCAGGTCAGTTCATAAGATTATTACTGTTATAAAAGTCAAGGAGTGGTTATTCATATAACAATAAAAGTCACAGAATGAGTAAGAGGATCAGAAGTGGGAAGAAGACTCTAAGCCAGGTGGTAAAGTCTTCAATGACCAGATGGTGATAACATACCAGCATTAACAAAGAACTCCTTAGCTTCAGGGAGGTTACATTTTAACCAATCATGATCTATAGCCTATCATAAACAATTAAGGGTTTCTCTGTGTAGCCCTGGCTGTTCTGGACTGCTTTGTAAATCAGGCTAGTCTAGAACTCGCAGAGATCCGCCGGCCTCTGCCTCCCAAGTGCTGGGGTTAAAGGTGTGTGCCACCAATGCCCAGCTCAATTACAGTTTTTAAAAGTAATCGTCTACTTGCATATCTGGGCAAAAGCGTTGACCTTTTTTGGCAAAAGTATCTGGCCTTCTATTATAATAGTGTGTGACTGGGAATTGTAGTACACTACTTAACTTCTTCGTGTGCATTTTGCCCAGCTATGTATAAGGATAAGAGGAGTTCAAATGTCACAATCGTGCATGAAAGGTACTGACACTGACAGCTGTCGTTTGCTTAGAACAAGGATGACTAATAAGATGTATACTGGAGAAAGCTTAGCTACACAAAATGTTAATGGAGTGTGTAAACTTTGAGGAGTTCACTTGGTAGGAATGTCAGACAACTTGTATTTTTCGTGCTCTTACTTCCATTTGTCCAGCTTCTCCACTTGATTTCAAGTTTATTCTACATTTGTGTTTCTGAAAGTAACTAAAATGAGACCTGACAGAAGATGAAAACGAGTATAAAATTCTGAATGAGTTGTTTACTTTGTAACCAGTCTCTCAAGGCAGCTAAGGTTTCCTGGTAAACACAAACTAACCCTGGGGGCAGAAAAAGTCAGAAATGTTTTCAAAGAATTGCTTAGCATATGTAACATTTGGGTAGCTTGTCTTGAAGTAGGACTCCTAAAGCAGGAGCAGACACTGTCTCTGACTCTGCTGCCTGCATTTGGGACCCTTTCCTCCTACTGGGCTGCCTCCTCCAGCTTCAACAGAAGATGCACCTAGTCTTAGTGTAACTTGTGGGCCAAGGGAGAAGGAATGGCTGGGGAGAGAGAGACTGGAAGGAGAGGAGAGACAGGAAACTGCCATTGGGATGTAGAATTAAGTAACTCGCAATTAATTAACTAATTATCAATCAATGAATAATTAGTTAATTAATTAATTTAAAAAGAACTGCTTAAAGGGTTGGTACTTGGTTGGCACCTAGCATATGGATCTGGGGAGGTTCCATCATTGCAACTGGTAAATGTCGCCAATTCACACTGTGGATTATGCTGAATGACTTACTTTCCTATGACTCTACAATTTTGGTACCTACTGGGAAGAAAGTTCCTTAATGATCGCCCACCACTACCAGCCCACCACCCCCGAGAAAACCTTGGCCCTGTCCCTGAAACACTCCACTGACAGTATCTGCCACTGCTGTTACAACTCCTTGCTAGGAACTTGGGTGTTAGGTGTAGGTAACTCTGGGAGCTTGTGTCTGATTTCTTCTGAACCTCACTCCATGTGACTTTTGCCATTGCTGATTTTGATTTGCATTCTTTTTCTGTAATAAATCTCAGCTGCAGCTTTTCAGAGAGGTAATGTCATAGCCAACAGTATATCTGAGATGTTTTATTGCTAATCGAATACCGGCTCTAAGATATGAATATGATAACATCCTGAGTTCTGAATCTTCCTACTAAGTCATTAGACTCAAGAGTTCTTTGAAATACCCAATACAAATGTATTACTCTTACCTAGAAATAGTGTTAATAAGCTTATTAATAAGCATTGTAATTGTATTAGAATTTTACCTGAAATCTTCTAATTATATCTCTGTGTTTATATATCTTTATATAGAGGGTAGGGTCCAGTTTTCTACATCAATTCTTTGGGAAAACAGAAAGATACCTGTATTGGCTAATTTGGGTTGTCAACTTGACACATCTGAGAAGAGGATCAAAATGAAAAAAAAAAAAAAAACTGCTTCCATCACATTGGCTTATGGGCGTATCTGTAGGGCAATTTCTTGATTGCTAATTGATATAGGAAAATTCAGCCCACTGTAGGAGGAACCATCCCTAAGCAGGTGGGCCTGGGCCATATAAGAAAAGTATGTGAGCCTAGGAGAAAGGCAGTAAGCAACTTTTGACCATGGCTTCTTCTTCAAGTTCCTACCACGTCTTCCCTCAGTGATGGACTATAACTTGTAATATAAATAAACTCTTTCCTTCACATGTTGCTTTCCATCAATGTAACTAAAAATGGCAGATAATAAGTACAGTACTTGTTCAAAAGGCTTAGAATACGTTCTCTTCATCCTCACCTTACTAGGTACTCGGGGTAAGAAAATGCTTGCCCTGTTTCTTCTGTAAAACTGTAATAATAGTATCTACCTCAAAAAATGCTTAAGGATTAAATGAGTTTGTATGGCAAGTAATTATAACAATCTCTGGCACATATTGTTATACATGCAGGATTATTACTTCTTTACATTCAAACTCTATATTTGTGTGTATCTGTGTGTGTATATGAGTGTCTGCATATGTGTGTCTCTCTTGAAGTTGCTTGAATTGAGTACCAATAGCAGTAGCTCTTCATAGTACTTAGGGAACCGTTTCTGAAATTTAAAAATCTCAAGTCTTTAAGAAATTATGACCTATAAACACAGGCATAAAGGAAACCACAGGCATAAAGATGAAACTTTCTGGTATTGGATTCTCAGCATGCACAAAAGCCTTGAGCGGATCCCTGGTACCAAACTAAACCAAACAGGACAACAACAAAAGCCTAAACAATAAAACAGAATTATGTTGGCATCAAGGTAACTACATAAATTAAATTTCAAGAATAATTTGTTAATAAATAATAATTTAACATACGAGTTTCCTCTCACGCAAGAGTGAAATCTTTAAAAGAATAATATATATATATACATATATATATATACATATATATATATATTTTAAAAAGCTGTCATTTGGTCATTCAAGAATGCCTGTGATGACCTGTGCAGTATGCCTGCAATCCCAGCACTCTGGGGGTAGAGACCAGAGGATCAGGAATTCAAGGTCATCGCTGACATAGGGAACTATTAGAGGCCAAGGTACAAGAACTCCTTTCTTAAAAAATAAAACCATCAGTAACAATAATGACAAGGGCAAAATGTAGAGTGGAGACATGTAACAAAGGAGCCATAGCAAGAACAAATGTAACCAGAGGAAGATGTAGATGGCGTAAGATAACCAGAGTCCTTGGTCCAAGTCAGGAAACTGGTTTTCCTCCCTAAATCTATCTTTATATTGAAAGTACAAACACACATTTTACATGGCATGCTCCCAGTCTTCTACACTCCATAACATGACTTGTGTGGAATGAGTGAATTATAAAGAGCAGGGCTCAATTATCAGAGCATTTTCCCAGGTTTCGGTGCCTGGAACAATTCATGTAAATTTGTATGGACTCTTAGAAAAAAGGAAGTATTCAAGGAAATAAAGATCATTTAAAAATAAAACATACCTATAAAATTCCTGTCCTATTCCAAGTGAGTTTAAAGACAAACTTCCAAACTACAGCATGCAACCAGAAAACTAAATAGTTCCGTACATAATCCTTTCAAGTTCTATATTTTCAGTTATTCAGCACAGAGAATAATAATGGCATATGCTAAACCATGGTAATAAATAATGCCCTGCTACCTTTTATTATTATAAGTACTTAGGACTTTGACCCTGCTGAAGTCCTATTGAAAATAGCAGAAATCTAATTAGTTAGCTTTACCTCTCACTTACCATAGTCTCCAAGAAGATACTGTAACACATGAATATTCTCTTTTCTAGGGAAAAGGAGGAGTCAAAATTTAAAGCAGTGAATTAAAAACTCACCATTGTAAGCACACTGACTGCTGGCTTCTTTTCTTTCTTCTCCTTTTTACTGAAAACACAGCAGAATAATTACACAAAACTTTAAAAATTATACAAAACTTTACAATTGCTAAATCAATTTACAGAGTTTTTGCTAAATGACAAGACAAAAATCCATGCCTATATTAGTCAATAAAAACATAATAGTTACTTATGAGCTTTAAATGTAACTATCTTTGCATACATCTCAGAAATATACCTATGTGGTTATCGAAGAGAATTGGGATTTTTATATATTCTTTGTACCTTAGACATTTCTTAATTTTCCTCACACATACACTTTTTACACACTCTAAAAGGGATGTTTTTGCATTTTTATTCTAAGTACAAAATAATCTATGCCTTAGGATTAGTTATCCTGATTATCATCTTAGTAATTATAGCAATAGATATCTGTAGACTGAGTACTATTCCTAATCAGTCTCTTTCCTAATAAAGCCTAGTGATGATCAGTGCTGAACACAACTAGCCTAAGGAACGGAGTAATTAAATCACCCTATGAGGAAATCTAATTGTGAAAGGATACCTGCAGCACTAAGTGAACCATTATAGAAAGAAACACAGTCTAGAAAAGATGCTCTGTAAGCAGTCACAAAGATGTCCTTAGACAAAAGGGTGAATTCTTATTTTGAACCAAGATTCAAATGACTCACTAGTCCATTTTCACCCCATGTAACTGCCTCCTAGGATATAATAACAAAATAACCATAACAAATCTTATTTTCCATGTGTATAAACACTGCTAGAAAAGAAAAGCTTTACTTTTACATATATTTTTAAGTTCAAAAAGTAAATTTGTCTTCTTTCTTATGACTAAATAACATTTAAAAAAAACCCACCAATATTTAATACCTTTCACAATCACTCTCCACTTTATCTTTTTTTGTCAGATGTTCACTGAATTTGGGTCTTACTAATTTGGGTAAACTGGCTGGTCATCAACCCTTACGATCCCAGGCCTTTTTAATGTTGGTTTTTGTGGGTAGCACTCAAGTCCTTTTGCCTGCATGACAAGCATTTTACAGACTGAGCCATCTTCTCAGGGCTAATAAAAAGCTTTCTAAAGAAACAGGTCAGAGGTTACTTGCATTTGACTTGATGTTAGATGGACTATGGACATACTATCTACAAACATCTTCAGGTTGGGTTCCACCGTGTTCTTAGTAAAGGTCCATTTAGTATCCCAGAAACCAGGATGAGAAGAAAATAATATAACCATACATGGCAGATGTTTAGTTCTAAGCTTTTTATGCTTCCATTCTCTAAATCTGATGCTACTTCAGTTATAATAATGTCCCAGGCCCTTAAGTAAGCATTCCCCAGACAATTTGTAAACAATTCTGAGGAAGGCAAACTTCATCTTTCTTTCAGGGATGACAAAACTGCAGCAGAGTGAAGTCCCACAGCTGGGACAAAACCCAAGGTTTAAACTTCCAAGCTGTAAGATACATCCTCAGACTTTTAAGGTATTGGATGGCTTGAAAATGTACTTTTACACTAACTCTCAGCCCTATTAGATTATTCTCTACCCCCATCATCACAACAATTTTTACAGAGAATTTATCAAACACATTTTAGAGCACGTGTATAGAGCTCAGAGCCTTGGTTTCGAACTGTAATAACCAGGAAATAAACAAACAAAAAAGCAAACGAATCATGTTTGTGAAGAATGTATGCAAGTGCATATAGCCCATGGTATTATTATTCCAGAGGTGACGAGCAGGCCCTTCAGAACTGTTCAACAACAACAACAGGTTTTATCTGAAGAATTTGCAGGGAGTGATGGCTGAAATGAGTACTGAATTGAGCATCTGTGTAGGGCTGAACTGTACGACTTCCTTCCACATGGCCTCATGCATACTCAAATGTCTGAGCATTTTTGATGGACATAGTTTTTTAAACTATTTTTTAAAAAAGGCAAAAATTAGACTCCACTATGTGTCTTCCTTGTTTATACAAAGGTTTTATTATTTCTATATGAAATAACAGGAAAATATAAAGGTTAGTATATAGTTCACCTAGATTCACAAATTACAACAGTTGACAATATTCAACCATACGAAGAGTATATGTTATCAATTGTTTAGATTCTGCCAAACTATTAAGCCGCAAATATCATAGTATTCATGTATTCCACTATCATTATCATATCTAAGAAACTTAAGCTCAGTGTTGAGATTATTTAAAATCCAACTCACAAAATTCTCAAATGTGTTTTTTGTTGTTTTCTTTACTGAATTCTCATTTAGTCAGAGCTCACACAACACATTTGCTGATTACGTTTCCTTAGTATCTCTTAATCTAGAAATCCCCTTTTTGTTGTGACACTGGCTTTTCTGAAGGGACAAAAGTGTCCCATGGTTGTATCTGCTTCAGACTGAGCAGAGATGGAGGTCTGTGGTGAGCAAAGGTTTAGAAACCAGATCGTCACTTAGTTATTACTACTCTCCCTTCTCGTGGACTGAAATTATAAAGTCATAAGACATGTCTGGTGGGTTCATCGGGTGACCTCTGCTTTCAGTCTCAGATACTATCATGACATTCTTAACTTTTGGGTTAGTAGAAACTTGTAATCTGTTTGCTTAATGCATCCTCAAAGACTTCAAGTTATAGTCAAAGGAATGTTAGGTCAGACACAGGGGTGGGCTAACAATAAGGGTATGATGGGGGCTGAAGATTGCCATCATTTTTAAGTTGGTTCTACACCTGCAGCATTCCTAGCTCTAACCACCATTGAAGCTAATCACGTTCAAATCCGCCTTTGTAGAATTTTGAATGTAAGATGTGGCTTCTTTCTTTCTGTGGTAATAAAACCATTTTATATAGAAACAGTCATTGAGAGCTAAACAAAAAAAAATTTGGGGCCTCTTTTCCTACTGTCACAAACATGTGATAGCTATGGAGTTGCTTTATCAGAAGATCATGGACCACAGCTGAGAGCCCAGGAAGCATATGGCTCAGGTGCGTGAGCGATCAACAGTGCTCATAAAACTGAGGTCACTAAACGGATGTGAGCAATGGCCGGCCTAGAGCTGAACAGGAGCCTCTTTCTGTCACACACATCTGAAGGACTGCTCCAAGCAGGGGAGCTCCTTCCAAGGGCTGGCTTACAGTTCTGAAGGTTGAAATAACAACCAGTAATCATTCAGTGCGCTGCTGGAGGCTACAACCCAATTGTTCAAACGTACAAGGCGCGTGAAGTATGGAAGTGAAACCATCTAGCTACCTCTTTTTGCCCATCTTCGAGTTCTTGTCTGCTCTTCCGTTAAGGCCCTCTTCAAGGTCCATCTCCACCTGGGGAAAAAACACAGTTCAGCTAAATACATGGCCGCGGGGCCAAGAGCCTAGGCAGACCTCACTGCCCCGCAGAGCCCAGTGGTGAGGAGGGGCCTGATGCTCCCGGGGCTGGGGCCGGATGGTTAACTCAGCCAGCCCCGGCATCCCGGGGAGCTCCGGGGTCACCCACGTGGACCCGGTGCTCGGCTCTGGATGCGGCCGTCCCGCCCTGCTCGGTCCCCTCCGCCCCAGCGCGCTCCTCCACCCGCCCGCGGCTGGGAACCGGGCGGCAGGGTCCTTCCGCCGCGCGGGTCTGTCACCAAAAACTCTGCTTGGATGCTGCTCCCCGAGCGACTTGGGGCTGCGTCCACTCGGTCGTCAGGGCCTTCCGAGGCCCCTGCCACCCGGGCCAAACTCAGGCATCCGGAGCACCCGACCCTTCCTGGGAACTGCCCTCCCGTGTCTCTACCTCCGGCTTCCCTTCGCAAAGTCCGCCAAGAGGTGGAATTCGGAAGAGGCGCCTCTAAGTGTTGTGGAGCCTGGGAGGATGTGAGCAGTAGTAGCTCCTGGAAACCGCTGTTTGACTGCGCCAGGGTTTTCTGGGGACAGGGGAGTAAACTCGGTGTACTCAACCTACGCCCAGGCGCAGTCCCGCCCAGCCAGTGAATTGACCAGGAGGTTACACCAGCTCCACTCCCAGCTAGACTCAAGGGTTATTGCTGGAGCAATTGCGAAACAGGTTGGATTTCTAGGCGAAATGGGCAGTCTGGTCTCCCCTCGCAAAGGTCAAGTAGAAAAACTCATCCCTGAATCATCAGAAACACACTTGTAAGAGTCACATCTCCACACTGCCACTCACGTGTCCATATATAGAACTGTGCGTCTATAGATCTGCACTTGGCCTTCCACACGTGACAAAGTTAAAAGACGCATTCTAGGCATATTATCTAATAGCCAATTAAATTTACCCTGCCCGCCAGTAAATTTCCCTTCTTTGAAGAACTCTTGAAAAGGTTAAGAGAGGCCCTGTGCAGGGGGTTTTCTTCAGTATGTTTCATAGTTTCTCAGTTATATCGGCTATCTCTTTTAATAATAAAAAACAAAAACAAAAAACAATACCCCCCCCAAAAAAAAAAACCCAAAAAGAAATAAAGAGGACACATTCCAGTATGTAAATGAAGCATTTCGGAGTTGAAATGGTTATTTTAAAATATGCACCATTTTGATCTTTTAGCTATCAAACCAATGTCCATATTCCTCCAGGGCATTTGAAATTTCTACAGTTCAATTTGAAGTATAAAGATAACTTTTAACACATTACTTTAGTCGTTATTTTTTTCCTGTGTTCACATTTTATATTCTTCCTGAGATTGTCTTCAAACTGACCAAAAGTAAATGTAGATTCAATTTAAACTCCTGAGTGTTTTACTCTTTGGTAAAACATAGCTGTTTTGTAAGCTCTAGTTTACATTATCTGACTTACACCTATTGCCTCTGGACTTGCCACAAGTATTGAGAAAAAGAAAACCCTGTCATTGTTTCTGCAGAGTGTGAAAGTATAACTTCTTCCTTTGATACTTTTTTCTACCTTTTACCCAAAAATGTCCTTGCTTTGACCCTTTTGGGAGAGGACATGTAATTGATTTTTTGTTTGTTTCCTGATATTGTTATAGACTAACAGGTCACTAGGGCTTTTCTTTTTTTTGGGGGGGGGGCATTGTTCGTTTTCGTCTTTTCTCAATGGCCGTGTTCATGTATAGCACCTGTCTTCTACCTGGGAAAAAAACGTATATTCATGCTCACCCTAAGCATTTCTACTCTTGTTTTTGCTTCTGCCCGTTTCTGTACTCTTCTAGCTCTAGAGACTGCTTCTCTCCTACATTTGGTTCTGCATACACTTGAAGGAACAAATTGTAACTAACATTTCTTAAACATGGCTCATACATGAAAAACTGCACCAAGCACTTGAAACAAACAAACAAACTCATTTAATCCTCATGGGAACTGATGACGTTGTTACTACCATTGTTATTCTTAGTTCCCAGTGGATGAAACAGGTCCACATTATTTGTCAAAAGCTACACAGCTTGAAAGCATCAGTCTCAGAACTTGAAAGTGTTCTCATAACTATCCCCCCTCATTTTTTCCTTCCTTCTTTTTTTGGGGGAAAGAGGGGGCGGGAATAGATGGGCAGTGTTTCAATATGTATTTCCCGATTGATCTTGAACTTTGACTATCTCAGTCTTGTCTTTGGTATGCTTGGGTTACAGGAGTGTATGCCCACACCTTCACCCTTACTCACTATGCACTGTAGAACATGACTACAGCACAGTACTTCCATTTACAGTCTCGTGAAGCTTTTCACCTTATGACTGAACTTTAGAAAAGCTCTGAGGACCCCTTGCCACCAACTATACCAATCTAAGAATTTATTGGGTTTTAAGGATTGTAACATAGTACTTCTCTCTATTCATCTTCTACCTCACTTCTTTAAATCATCTCCCTCAATACATCATGCTCATTTCATTCCAACTAATTCGCTGTACATTTCAGGTGATCTGCTGCTGCTGCTGTTGCTGCTGCTGCTGTTGCTGTTGTTTTCACTCTGTTTTTCTATGTGCAACTCTCTCTGCATTGAAAACTTGGACTTGATGCAGTAGGATTTAGAGGTTGGGCTTTGGGGAAGTGGTTGGATCATGGGACTGTGACCTAATGAATGGATTGTTCCAATGAAGGATTCCTACTCTGGTACACTATTGTGGTTAAACGGAAATTTAGGAGGTGGGACTTAGTTCAAAGGAGGTCTTAGGGGGTCTGTCCTCAGGAGTTATGTCTTGTCTTCATCCACTGACCCTCTTGGCTTCCTATCTGCCATGATATGAACAATAATTCTCTACTACATAATTCCAGCTACTTCCCCTAGTCTATGGACTAACACCTCTGAAATCAAAGCAAACCTTTTCTCCTTTGAATCTGTTTCTCTGAGCTTACCATGATGGAACCAACATGTTTTCTCCTAATATTTCTAATTGTTAAGATACTTTTCATTTTCCTTATGTAAATTGTGTCTCTGTCCTTGATTTCTATAGGAATTTTCTCTACTTCTCCTAGCTCTTCCATTTATCTACCTTAAATCCAAATTTAATATACTCTGAAAGAGGAACAAATATTCACCCTGATGAACTTATTTGACTTGAGGCAGAGAAAGACTATAACAGGATCCGACTGCCAACCACATGATTCACTTGTGCTAGCAATAAAAGATCCACAATATTACAGTGTCCACCTATTTATGTGTAACTGATTTTTATGTGTGGAGGACAATAGACTGGCTAAGTGACAAGGATAATGAATGACTAGACCCAAACTCTGGTTAGATTACACCATGAGATTGCTTTTTAAAATCCTGCATTAGTAAATCCCAGTTCTTGAGTTGGCAAGTTTTCTCAGTAGGTAAAGGTACTTTTCATCAAGGCCGACAATGTGAGTTGAATTCCCAGAACACACATGATAGAAGAAAGTAACTCCCCCGTGTTGTCCTCTGACCTCTATATGCATGCATACTAACAAACCAACATTTGTAAATTTTAGTATTAAAAAAAAAAAATCTAAGCTTTTGAACTTGGTAATTTCCAAAAAGGTTGTTCTGCTATCATTTAGCCTATAATTCAACAGTCATAGCTTAGGTAAAATGGTGATAAAAATTTAAAAAACTTAACTTAAAATTAAGTGATTTATTAATGTACTCTAGGCAGAAATGATTTGTATCCTTCACCCACTCCTCATTGACTTTACTTTTAATTTTATACTTATTAGTACTTTATATGAGAATGGGGTTTTTGTTATTTGGAACATGCATAAACATTACATATCTACTTATTAAAAATACCATGTGCTGAGGGTATGATGTCAGCAATAGCCTACTGAAGCTGAACTAGTAGGTTACCTGCCTGCACTATCTTCAAGGTGCCTCTGGGATTCTTTTTCCACCAAACATCTCCTACATGATCCTCTAGTATTATCTCTCATATTATCTCAGTGAATCATTCCCTGAGGAAGGCACTGTCTTCTAAACCCTCTGAGTGACTTTTAAGTGACTGACAGAACAAAGAAAGATAGAACAAAGGAGTAAGTTTATTTTTGTGGGGGGGGGGTAGGGGTAGGGATGGAGGTGAGAATGAAGTGGGTTAAGGAAACCTATTCCAGTCTTATTACTTATTGCTGTAAAGCTCTAGACAAGTTACTAAGTCTCTCAAAACATAGACTTCAACATTGTTAAACCAGAGACAGGAAGAGGATCTAGGTGTCCAAGGAACAAAGAGGGCAAGTTTTAGAAAATGTTCAGTATAAAGCATGTTATTAGCAACATTTTCTGATAAAGATGGCTGGTGGATACCAAGGCAAGAGTAAAACTTAAAAACTCAAACTTAAAGTTGTGATGTCTGAAAGGGGTAGTGAAGGTAAATATGATGTGGAAATAATTATAATTGTTTTACATATATAAAATAAACACAAATGTCTTTTAATTTTAAACACACAAGCAGAATACTTATTCAAATACTACAAAAGAGCTGTGTTTTAATATGTAAAGGGAATCATATAGATAAGAGAGACACAAAGACTCAAATGTAAGTAAAAAAAAGTAAAAAAAATTAGGCAATGCATATATAAGAGGAAATAGTAAATTAGAAATTAAAAAGTAAATGCTAAAATATTCATGATAGCTACAAAGAAATACAAATTATACACAAATATGTTTGGGGAAAATGAGGTTATAATATGCTCATAAGAGTAAAGTAACTTGTTATTAAAATGAATAAAGAAACAATGTGTTCATATATACCAAATATATTTGATCCATTCATTCAATTTTTGAAAATATATTTTAAGTGATCAAAAGTGAAAATTAAGGATAGCTACAAATATATCCATTTCTGCTTTTTTTTCTTCTGCTAAAAAGTGAGAAATGGAATATGTATGCTTGAGAAAGTAGTCTGTCTTTTAAACTTTATTCTTTTTGCTATTTATGTCCAGTGTGTATGATGTGTGTAGAAGGGAGCGGGTGTGCAGGACAGTCAGAGGCACTTGGTGTTGCTGGTTTCTCTTTCAAACTTTACATAGGTTCTGGGGTTGAACTCATGTTTTCAGGCTGGCATGATGTGTTGAGCCGTCGTGCCTGCATGTGATACAGTCTCCTAAAGAGAGTAGGAATAAAAACATCATTTATAACGTTTGTAATAACACTGGAGAAGACTCATGAAAATGATGTGCAATATTAACTACCTAAAGCAAGCCAGTAACTGCAAAACTAGAAATAAAAACAGTGAAATATTAAAAGTTGTTTGATTTTAGTGGTGGAACTTAGATTAACTTTTGAAATTTTAAACACTTTTTTGAAGTTTTCCTGCATCGAAAATGTTTTTTTTTTCTTCATAATGAAGATGGTAAAAATGAATTTATTTTAAATTAAGCACATGGCAGAGGGCCAGAATCTGGCCTTTGTTTCTCAATGCAGTTTGCTCATTATTAAAGATCAGTGCATGGAGAGCACCTAAAAGCCTGGCTCAGATGTAGCCCATAAACTCAGTCTCCAGGTGGGGTCCCTAAT